AAAAAAAAAAACAAAAAAACACAATTTTTAATGGATCCTCCTGTGCACAAGTCTGAGTTGATCATATTCTTCAGTCTGGATGAGGCCTATTAGTCTGATGGACTGCCATAACAAAGTACCCTAAACTGGATGGTTTCAACAATAGAAATTTATTTCCCCAGTTCTGGAGATTGGAAGTCCTAGAACCGTATGCCAGGCAGATAATTTCTTATGAGGGCTCCCTTCCTGGTTTCCAGACAACTGTCTTCTCTCTGTGTCCTTACATGAAGGAGAAAGAGAGAGGTGTCTGAGTGGCTCAGTTAGTCAAGCATTCAACTCTTGGTTTCAGCTCAGGTCATGATCTCACAGTTTGTGGGTTCCACCCTGCATTGGGCTCTGCACTGTCAGTGGGATTGGGATTCTCTCTGCTCTTCCCCTGCTCTCTCTCTTTCTCTCTCTCAAAGAATAAATATATAAACTTTAAAAAAAAAAGGGGGTGCCTGGGTGGCTCAGTCAGTTAAGCGTCCAACTTCAGCTCAGGTCATGATCTCACACTCTGCGAGTTCGAGCCCCACATTGGGCTCTGTGCTGACAGCTCAGAGCCTGGAGCCTGCTTCAGATTCTGTGTCTCCCCCTCTCTCTGCCTCTCCCCTGCTCATGCTCTCTCTCTCTCTGTCTCAAAAATAAATAAAAACATAAAATTAAAAAAAAAAAAAGAGGGGTGCCTGGGTGGCTCAGTCAGTTAAGCATCCAACTTTGGCTCAGGTGATGATCTCACGGTTCATGGGTTCGAGCCCCACGTCAGGCTCTGCTGGCAGCTTGAAGCCTGGAGCCTTCTTCATATTCTGTGTCTCCTCTAGCTTCCCCTTCCCTGCTTGTGCTCTGTCTCTGTCTCTCAAAAATAAATGAACATTAAAAAAAAAATTTTTTTTTAAAAGAGAGGGCAAACTCTGGCATCTCTTATTGTAAGGACCTTAATCTCATCATGAAGGCCTGCCCTTATGACCATGTCTAACCCTAATTACCGCCCAAAGACCCCATTTCCAAATACTATCACCTTTGGAATTAGAACTTCAACATAGTAATTTGGACACAAATATTCAGTCCATAACTAAGTTGTCCTGTGTTTTTTCTGTTATGATTCCCACTCTCCCTCTAATTCTGGTCCCTTCCTTCCCTGTAGGCATACTCTAAGAGAGTTAATGAGAGTTCTGTACACTTCTATACACTTAGTTACATACTTGTTTGGTGTGCTATGATGTATATTTAAAAGGTTATATAAATGATACGTGAGTTCATTCAATTTTTACTCTCTGTGCTCAAAATTACATTTTTGAGACTTATCCATGTGGCTATATGTAAATCTATGTAAATTACTTCAGACTAATGCATCAGTTACTTTATTCCCTTAGTGATTAACAAATTCAACTTTATTTAAAGTTTAATTATTTATTTATTTTGGGAGAGAGAGAGAGAATATCCCAAGCAGGCTGACACTATCAGCACGGAGCCCAACATGGGGCTTGAACTCACAAACTGTGAGATCATAACCCAAGGTGAAATCAAGCATCCAATACTTAACTGACTGAGTCACCCAGGCGCCCCAATAGATTCAACTTTTTGAAAGATAATGTTCTTTTAATCCCTAAAGATTTCAGGAACTTTGATCTCCAAAATGGTGTCATAGCCCACAGTGCTCTTGTACCACAAGTAATAGTGTCAGTCCTTAATGTTTGAATTTCCATCGGATTGTTCTTAAGTTGCTATAATCAAAATGTCTGACATTCAGAATTTCTTTGTGTTTCTTTGTGGGTAGTACTGGCAGTGTGCAGGGGATTAGATCAGAACAAACTAGTACTCTGCCCAGGATATTCTGAAATGAATAGTTGTGAATTATGATTTCATTTGTTCAGGATGTTTGTCTACTTGCTATACTTTTCTTTTCTTGCTTAATTTCAGGACCACTAATTCCTCTAGCTGGAATAATAATCAGACTGATCACTCCAGTCTCAGTGATTCCCAGTTCCTCTTTGGATCACAGTTCTGTCCAGAAAGTTCAGAGACGCTGTCAGCACCCTTGGACTCTGTTGTCTACTTGAGACACCCAAAACAGTCACAACAGAATTCTCTGGACGTGAGTCTCATTTCCACAGTTGCTCTGCATGCATTTCATAGTCATTATGGAGATAAGCTATAAAGACTTATTCTGTTGGATTGTTTTTTAGATTTATACATCTCTAAGGATTACTCTCCTAAATGGATTTGTGCTTGTTTGGTAATTCAGTACTCCGGTAGTCTTGGGATCAGATTTGGTAGTCTGAAATGGAAAAAAATATTAATTTGCAGTTTCTTCTATTACTAAAGCAATATAGAATATTGCCAGTACCTTGATCCTCTTAGAGGGAGCCATATGATATTAAAAAAAAAAAATTTTTTTTAATGCTTATTTATTTTTTGAGAGAGAGACACACACACAGACAGGGGTGGGTGGGGTAGGGACTGAAAGAGACAGAGACACACAATCTGAAGCAAGCTGCAGGCTCTGAGCTGTCAGCACGGAGCCCGATGTGGGCCTCGAATTCACAAACTATGAGATCTTGACCTGAGCCGAAGTCAGATGCTTAACCAACTAAGCCACCCAGGTGCCCCTGCATGACATTTTCTAAGACATACTATTGTTTGTGAAAATTTCATAAGAAAGAAGAGCTTTAGAAAAATAGGAATAAAGTAACATAAATTTTATTTTATATGGACGTTTTTTCCTAAGAAACTTTAGATGCTTTGTGGATTTTAGTCTACTATGCTACATTATTTCCTTGAAGAAGGACATGAGGATTCTGAGGACTTGGTTAGTGAATATGGGCCAGAATCAAGAATAGAGTCTCGTGAGTCCTCGATTTTCTGAGCCCAGCCTGTCTTCTTTAGTGGGTCAGAAATATTTTTACATATTTATTTATTTTGGTTTAAAACTAGATTTAACTTTATATACAGATTTAACCTGCATCAAACAGACACTCCATGGATAAGATTAAGTCAGTGCTTTAAGACAGTAGAGTATGCTCTCAGATAAGTATTTCGATACAAAAATTGGTACCCAGTGATATGAAGGAGTATATGTACTCCCTGAATGTTTCAGAGTAAGTGTTGCCTCAAATGCAGGAAATGGCTCACCATATGCCAGCATGCCTACTGTCCAGTCCATGTGAAATTTATTATGTTTAGTTCAACAGTAATTGAGTTAAACCTATTAATGTGAAAACTTTAACATATCTCAGAGACAGCATAAATAATTCAGTTATTGCCTTCAAATTTGTGCAACTGATTTTTTTTTAAGTTATTCAAAGTTTATTTTGTGTGAGAGAGAGAGAGAGAGAAAGAGAGAGCAAGCGGAAGATGGGCAGAGAAAGGGAGGGAGGGAGAGAGAGAATCCCAAGCAGGCTCCACACTATCAGCACAGAGCCTGACGTGGGGCTCAGACTCACAAACTGTGAGATCATCACCTGAGCCGAAATCAAGAGCTGGATGCTTAACCGACTGAGCCACCCAGGCACCCCTGTGCAACTGATTTTAAGCCATCTTAGCTGATATTTTATTTTTATTTTTTTTTTAAAGTAGGCTCCACACCTGACATTGGGCTTGAATTCATGACCCCGAGAGTAAGAGTCACATGCTCTACTGACCGAGCCAGCCAGGCACTCCAATTAGCTGATATTTTAAATATCTCTGTGCTGGTAAGGCATGAACCTTATTAATAAAAAGAGTTTCTTTAATATGATTTTCTGATGAATATGGAATAAAAAGGAAATACTACATGCCATGTTGTTTTTTAATGTTATTGTTTACACTTAAATGTGACTATATTATGTAGAAAATAGTGAATGCTATAAATATTTGCATGTATGAAATGCTATGATTTTTTTTTCATTTAACAGAGTGAACCAAGTATTTTCACAAAATACCAGACAAAACCCCAGCTATTTGGGGGAAATACAAATGATAGAGGCTTATTTCCTCTTCCTTTGTCAGTTGGAAAATCAAAGGGCCTCTTGGAACAATTTGAGGAGAAAAAGAAAAGGGCAAAAGACAAATGTGACAGGTATGCAAACCTTTCAAGTGGATGTGACAGCTCATCTTTTCTGAAGGAAACAGAAAATGGAATATTAACAGTCAAGTAATTCTATTTTAGCATATTAGCACTCTTGCCTTTATAGCTCAGCTAATAATTACTCTTTATTTGCTTAGTTGTCAATGTGACTTATGGCAGATTTGAATATGGCTGCCACAGTTCTGGCCCCCCTGAAAAGGACTTCTTAGAGAAATACAATATTCAAGTAATGATGTTTATTCTGCCTAAAATTCTGCCCTTTTATCTTTTCAGATCATCACAGTTGGGAAATCAGATAAAAGTTGTTTTATGGTTGGGCACCTGGGTGGTGTAGTCAGTTAAGCATCTGACTCTTGATTTTAGCTCAGACCACGATCTCACTGTTGGTGAGTTTGAGTCCTGCATCAGGCTCTGTGGCTGATGGCATGGAGCCTGCTTGGGATTCTGTCTTTCCTTCTCTCTGCCCCTCCTCTGCTTGTTCTCTCTCTCTCTCTCTCTCTCTCTCTCTCTCAAAATAAATAAATAAACAAAAAAAATGTATTAAGGGGTGCCTGGGTGGCTCAGTCAGTTCAGCATCCAGCTTCTGCTCACATCATGATCTTGTGGTTTGTGACTTCAAGCCCCATGTCAGGTTCTGCTGACAGCTCAGAGCCAACTTCAGATTTTGTGTCTCCCTCTCTCTCTGCCCCTACCCTCGCTTGCAGTCTGTCTCACTCACTCTCAAAAATAAATAAACATTAAAAAATATTTTTTTTTAAAAAGTTGTTTTTGGGGGCGCCTGGGTGGCTCAATCAGTTAAGCGTCCGACTTCAGCTCAGGTCATGATCTCACTGTCTGTGGGCTCGAGCCCCACGTCGGGCTCTGTGCTGACAGCTCAGAGCCTGGAGCTTGCTTCGGATTCTGTGTCTCCCTCTCTCTCTGACCCTCCCCTGTTCATGCTCTCTCTCTCTCTCTGTCTCAAAAATAAATAAATGTTAAAAAAAAACATTTAAAAAGTTGTTTTTGGCACAAAAACAGACACTCAGATCAATGGAACAGAATAGAAAACCCAGAAATGGACCCACAAACATATGGCTAACTAATCTTTGACAAAGAGGAAAGAATATCCAATGGAATAAAAACAGTCTCTTCAGCAACTGGTGCTGGGAAAACTGGACAGTGTCATGCAGAAAAATGAACCTGGACCACTTTCTTAACCATACATAAAAATAAACTGAAAATGGATGAAAGACCTAAATGTAAGACAGGAAGCCATCAAAATCCTTGAGGAGAAGGAAGCCATCAAAATCCTTGAGGAGAAAACAGGCAAAATCTCTTTGACGTTGGCCGCAGCAACTTCTTACTTAACACTTCTCCGGAAGCAAGGGAAACAAAAGCACAAATGAACTACTGGGACCTCATCAAAATAAAAAGCTTCTGCACAGCAAAGGAAACAATCAGCAAAACTAAAAGGCAACCTACAGAATGGAAGAAGATATTTACAAATGATGTATCAGAAAGGGTTAATATCCAAAATC